CGGAATCAATGTCGGGACAGTTTACAGAGTCTTGTCGGACCCTAAAAAGTCGACCCTCAAAAAGGTGTGCCCAATCTTTCAAAAGGCGTGCCATCAAAAGGCGTGCCCAATCCATAAAAAGGCGTGCCATCAAAAGGCGTGCCCAATCCATAAAAAGACGTGCCATCAAAACAATGTTGTGACAGTTTAACGGAGTCTTGCTGCCCTTGTAGAAACTAACCGAATCAATGTCGGGATGTTGACAGGAGTCTTGTCGGAACCCATGAAGAGCTAACGGAATCAATGTCGGAACAGTTTAACAGAGTCTGTCGGACCCATAAAGGAGCTAACGGAATCAATTCGGACAGTTACAGAGTCTTTTCGACCCATAAAGGAGCTAACCGGAATCAAGTTCGGGACAGTTTACAGAGTCTTGTCGGATCCATAAAGGAGCTAACCGGAATCAATGTCGGGACAGTTTTACAGAGTCTTGTCGGACCCTTAAAGAGTCGCACCTCAAAAGGTGTGCCCATATCCTTTCAAAGGGTGCCATCAAAAGGCGTGCCAATCCATAAAAAGGCGTGCCATCAAAAAGGCGTGCCCAATCCATAAAAAGACCACGTCTTTTGATGAAGTGGGCGCGCCTTTTGAGGGCGCGACTTTTGAGGGCTCACTATATATATCCATATATATATATATATATTTGGGCAGCCTATATACACCATCATAGGTTAGCTCCTTTATGGGTCCGACAAGACTCTGTAAACTGTTCCGACATTGATTCCGGTTAGCTCCTTCATGGGTCCGACAAGACTCTGTCAACTGTCCCGACATTGATTCCGGTTAGTTTCTACAAGGGTGCAGCAAGACTCCGTAAACTGTCACAACATTGTCTGCTACAACGGTCCGACATGACCTCATAAACTGTCTTCTACATCGGTCTGACACCCCCATACAGTGTCCTCTACAACGTTATGGCACCACCATCCAGTGTCTTCACCAATGGTCTGACACGACCATACAGTGTCTCCTATCCTTTTTTATTTTTATGCATTTTCTTGTTTTGTTACTCTCTCCAAACTCAAGTTGGTTAGTTTCTATCCTCCTTGAGTTTGCGGGGGGCTGTTAAAATTTACCATCACCTACCACACACTTACCATCACCTACCACACACTCACCTACTACACTCACCTACCACCACCATCCACTACACCTACATCTATATAAGGAGCCATTTGTAATATACAGAATATCAACACACAATCAATCAATAATACATAAATTCATACATAAATTCTTACAGCATATATGCACCAATCATGTCCCTTATCATGGTAATGACTCAAAAGGGCATGTGTCTCAATTCCTGGACCACCAATTACGCATTTCCATGCATGATGGCCCAAGGAGTCAAGTGTGCAACTTTCATGTCAAATGAAATGCAAACCAAACAAACAAACCAAGGCCCAATTCTTATCACCAAGTCATTAACAAGGCATGCATGCAAGATGCAATGCAACCTAGGCGTGCAAGCTAAGGATGCAACATGGCATGGCAAGGCACTTATGCAAGCATACAAGCAAACATGAGGCAATGCAAATGGATGAAAAGATGAACTTATGCACGATTTAGGCAACTCTAAATAGGCCCAAAACAGCGGCCGAAGTGACCAAAATAAGGGACCAAAATACACATACACGCATGCACATGTTAAGGCCCAAATGCTTAAGCATCAAAGGGCTATTTCTAAGCACATTTCAATGAGGCAATCATGGACAAATAGCATGCAAGGTAAGCATTATAAATCATGTTAGGATGATGTCAAACCAAGCAACAAGATAAGCTAAACATTAGCATGCAAATGGTCCAAGTACTCAAAGTAAACCAATGGAGTATTGAACTACACTTAGCCAGACCAAACATGGCATGAACTAAATAACTAAAAACAGAATTTTAGCACATAAAATAAAGCCCAAAAGACCACTTAGATGGCATCTAAATGGCTCAAATTCAAAGGCATGCACAAGTGCCAAAACATGGAACATGTTACACAAACCTTCAAAGCATCAAAGAGGTAATTAAAGCAAGCATACAAGCATACTATAAGGTCTGAAATGACATGGTGGATGATTCCAAATCACCAAATCAATGCAAAAATGTCATGCTATACACTCATACACTTAAGGCCAACAAGCCGGAATGCAAAGGAGCTATACTAAGCATGCCAAATTCGACCCAAACAACCATGGACAGACCTAAAACATGGCAAAATATGCACAAAACCTTCACAAGACTAAGCCTAAAACATGCTCTAACAAGGGCTAACAACCTAAGGCACATTGAGGCAATAACATGGCATTACATGGTAGGTATGCTAAGCATGCATGGTGTACCAAAACCAACAAAAAACAGAGGTATAATATGACATATTAAGCACAAAAAACAAATCCAACCTCCACCCATGGGCAATAAAACAGTTTATCACATAAGCATCTAGCCACATGGTAAACATACTGTCATGGTGGCACTCACACGCATGCGGGATGCTAAAGCATAACTACTTACATCGTACTCCGTGCCAAAACAAAGAACTCGTTAGCAAACATGCATGATCCAAGTTCATGTTAAGTGCCTAATGCATCGCATACAAAATGTTGCTAGAATAGGCTCGGCTAACCTAAACATGGCATGTGAAATGCGATCAATTGATGCACGTATTCAATTTGGAATTGAAGTACAAATACAGTTAGCGTGATGTACCGAGCCTAATGCATGCAATACAAATGCATGGATGCACATATGCATAGCATAGGGTATGCTAAATTAAACGTGCCCTAATCTACCATCATAAGCAGGTAAATAAAAGGGAAGAAAGAA